TATATATATATATTCAAGCCTGTAAGCCTGTAAGGGGATATAAAGCCTGTAAGCCTCAAGCTTCGGTGGAACTACAAGTCGCAGCTGACAAAGCTGCCTATACTCGTAGACACTAGATAACTGAATCTCATTGACTTTCTTTTTCCTGCTGTGCTGAATGATGGGACTTAGAAAGAGCAGCCCTGGGACCCAGCAGAGCCCGTGCTATTGTAAAGAGGGACATAACATTACGTTATAGACGATGAAAGATGCAGATTTCACAAAATGTTCCCCCCGCAGCTTGAAATCCGCAACTTTCTAGAAGGCAGATGTGTTTTGAGCCTTCAAAGGGTTAAATAATTTTTCTTCTTCTGGCATCTTAAGAGGGGCAGGGACAGCGTGAGAGGCTGTAACCGAATTCTCCTTCCTATTGGCTGTCTCGCAGATCCCTTTGCAAGAGTCCTGGACTCCTCAGACCTGCAGACACCCCTCTGATGGCGTCCAAACTTCTGAGAGCTGTCATTCTTGGACCACCGGGTTCCGGCAAGGGGACCGTGTGCCAGAGGATCGCCAAAAACTTCGGGCTGCAGCATCTGTCCAGCGGCGACTTCTTGAGACAGAACATCCGATCCGGCACGGGTAAGGATGATCGTGTGAAGAGTTGTGCACAGACTGACGTTTCCTGGTGTTCTCGGGGGGCTCGTTGGCTTTTGGTGGGTCCCCGAAAAGTCCTTTTTTATTTGGATCTGTGTCATTATGTGATGTAAAAGATTCACACTGATTATATTCACCGATTTGTATCTGAAGGACGGAAACATTGAACTTTAACTTTGTATCCTCTTGTACTTTGCTACGTTTTAAAACATTTATTTTGGAATATTATTAATGTTACATAGTTAGTCAGGTGAAAAAAAGACACCATCGAGTTCAACCTACAGAGATACAGAGAAAAAACAAAATGTCATCTAAACTGACTGCCGTGTGTGTGTGTGGTGCATACAGGGTGCTGATATCGGGAACATCTCATTATTCAAGCTGACTTGTTTCAACAAGGTTGCTCACATACACTATAGTGCCAACAGTATTGGGAAGCCTTTACACGCACATGAACTTTATTGGCATCCCAGTCTTAGTCCGTAGGGTTCAGTATTGGGTTGGCTCCGCCCTTTGCTGCTATAACAGTTTCAACTCTTCTGGGAAGGCGTCCACAAGGTTTAGGAGTGTGTCTATGGGAATGTTGGACCATTTGTGAGGTCAGGTACTGATGTTGGGGGAGAAGGTCGGGCTCGCAGTCTCCGCTCTAATTCATTCCAAAGGTGTTCTATGGGGTTGAGGTCAAGACTCTGTGAGGCCAGTCAAGTTCCTCCCCCCCAAACTCCCCCATCCATGTCTTTATGGACCTTGCTATGTGCACTGGTGCGCAGTCATGTTGGAACAGGAAGGGGCCATCCCCAAACTCCTCCCACAAAGTTGGGAGCATGAAATTGTCCAAAATGTCTTGGTGTGCTGATGCCTTAAGAGTTCCCTTCACTGGAACTAAGGGGCCAAGCCCAACCCCTGCGAAACCACCCCCCCATAATCAGCCCTCCCCCAAACTTTACACTTGGCACAATGCAGTCAGGCAAGTACCGTTCTCCTGGCAACCACCAAACCCAGACACGTCCATCGGATTGCCAGTCAGAGAAGCGTGATTGGTCACTCCAGAGAACACGTCTCCACTTCTCTAGAGTCCAGTGGCGGCGTGCTTTACACCACGGCATCCCACGCTTTGCATTGCACTTGGTGATGTAAGTCTTGGATGCAGCTGCTCGGCCATGGAAACCCATTCCATTAAGCTCTCTACGCACTGTTGTTGTGCCAATCTGAAGGCCTCATGAAGTCCGGAGGTCTGTAGCTATGGACTCTGCAGACAGTTGGCGACTTCTGCGCACTATGCGCTTCAGCATGCGCTGACCCCGCTCTGTCATTTTACGTGGCCTACCACTTCCTGGCTGAGTTGCTGTTGTACCCAGTTGCTTCCACTTTGTTATAATCCCAGTAACAGGTGACCGCGGAATATTTAGTAGCAAGGAAATTTCACGGATGGACTTATTGCACAGGTGACAACCTATCACGGTACCACGCTTGTAGTCACTGAGCTCCTGAGAGCGACCCATTCTCTCACAAATGTTTGTAGAGGCGTCTGCATGCCGAGGTGCGTGATTTTATACACGTGTGGCCATGGAGTGATTGGAACACCTGAATCCAATGATCTGGAGGGGTGTACCAATAGTTTTGGCAATATAGTGTATACCAGAACACACCCAACAAGAAGGTGGTGGTGATGGTTAAACAATCAGTAGAAAGAAAGCCAAGGCGTTTTGGGGGGTTCATTCCCCCCCCCCCCCCTTTCATCAGGGCTTGTGTATTGTATAATATCAAATGTAGATGGACTCCATTGCATTGCAACAATAGTTCTGTAATATCTGGACATGAATTCGGTTGGATTGCAACAATAGTTATAGAATATCTGGATGTGAATTTTTCCAGTCTAAGTTTGTGCAACACGACGCACAGCTAGCACCCACAGCTACTTTTCAGAGCACCCTGGGAGCCCCAAACCTTGCCATTATGCAAATATAGCTTGGTGGCAACCCCCATGCCTTGCTATTGGCCTGCACCATTCACTTTCCTTATATTGCTAATACCCCATCACTGTAATGGGTGACGTCTCAAACCAATAGACGAAAGGGGCGGGGCAAAATATCAGATTCCTAGCCGGAGAAGACATTTGCATAATAGAGCACACCAGTTTTTTGAGGGGTTCCCATCGTGCTCTGTAAAGAAGTTAAAGATAATTAAGGATTCCTGCTGTCTTGTGGTTCCATTTTAACACTGTAACATACTCAGGGCCGGATTTCCATTTTGGGCGCCTGTAGGCATGAATGGATAATTTGTTTAGCTGGAGCCGGCACCCCTAACTGCCGTGGGACCCGCCGACTTTTACCTATGCAGAGAAGGACCCCGGTGTTGCGTAAGGCTGCCCTACATGCCTGTGCGCATCAGACAGGCGTTTTACCGGGAAGGCTTACGCAGCGCCAGGGTAGATGCCGCTGGTCTTGAAGGAGGAGGGTGCATTTTGCACAGACATTACACTCCTAGCTATTGCCGGGGTTGTATCTTGACACAACAAGGGGCTTTAGGCAGAGTAGGTACCTCACTTCACCCCTCTATGGAGGGTATCTGTAGGCAGTGGCGTCACAAGAGGGTTGCGGCCTGCGCCCAGGTGACACCATTGGGGGGGGGGGGGGACACCAAAATGACTGGCGGGCATTTGGGTGTACCCCCCTCTGAAAAGTCGCGCACTCGGTCATGGACTGTTGCAGGAGAGAGGACGGGGACCTAGCAGCATACCTCATCCCGCCAGGTGAACATCCCCTCTTCTCTCTGCCGGGATCCATCACCAAGATGGCCGCCGGCAGGTATCACCAAGATGGCCGTGCATGCCCAAGGATGTCATCGCGCATGCACGATGACATCATGGCGTGGTGTCATGCGTTACCCGCTCCGGGTGACACCTGGCCTCGGGACGCCCTGGTCTGTAGGCAGGTGCCTACTCTGCCTAATGGTAAATCTGGCCCTGAACATACTGGTTTACTTTGGAGAGGAGGGGGGGGGCAAGTGAGGGGAAAGGCATCATTTTATGGTTGTGCCTCTACCGTAGCAGAGTGAATATTTTGCAATGGGGACACCTGTTCCGGTGACAACGGTCTTCCCCTCACTAGGTTTCTACTTCCTTTCTTTCACATGTTTGGCACAGGAAGTGTTGGGAAATCTTCCCCAGTGGGAGACCGCAGAGGATCTTAGCCTTCTGCACTAGAAAGAAACACGTTTTGCCTGGAGTCCTGTTTGGAAATCACGCTGTCATTGCTGAGCAACCAGCAGCGGTAAATCCATTTTGCTTTCTGCTTGAAATCTCCACCTCCGGCAAAATCTGCGAGGAATCCCAGCTCTGTGCCTGGGCACTGCAGATAACCGGCCGCACCCCAAGGGGAATTTATTATTAATCCGACAGGTTTACAGGTGAGGAAGCATTAGGAATTTTCTAACTTTGGAACTGCTACGTATCCGTACCTTCTTTTCCTGGGGGGCACTGCTGTGATCATCATGCCGTACGATGACCTTTTAACATACAATCTGGGTCACAAGGGGTTAAATTGATCCGACCTGATCGAATAATAAAAGCGTGCCTTTTCTGGGGAGGGGGATAATGTTGCTTCCCTTATTCCTGCCAGCACTATACCTAAGTGCAAGCTTTTTTAATGATTCATGACTGGGCTGTGTCCGCTTCATGGCGCGCTCCCAGGCAGCGATGTGCTCTTTGATTCGGCAGGTCCCGTCAATAGAAGAAATCGCTTTGTCCGATTGGCCGTTGTGTTTTGTTTTTCTCGCCGCGCTGAAACTAAATGACTTCTTCAAGGTCAGCGAGAGCCAAATCTGAGTTTTGGGTCACTGAGGCTATTAATGTTTCTGTTGTGCGGTGCCACTCCCAGTGCCAATGGCCCGGCAAGGATGAACTCGCCTGTAGTTTTCCATATGTTGCGCACAACTGAGCCGAACGGACGCGGGGACATCTGCAGCAGTGAAAACTCTGGTAACCCATAGCAACAGGCAGACGCCCGAAACCAACCACAGTAAAAAGTATGTGAGCAAACGTCGCTGCCCCTCACTATTATTTAACCCTTATATGATCCTAAATGTTTAATTCCCCCCTCTGCTTATCCAGGGGGTGGACAAATAAATATGGAATTCATGACCCAGAACAGTCAATCCAGGTGCCAGCTCCATTGACAAATACTAAAGAGAACCTCAAAAGCTTGGCGCCAGATATAATTTGTAAGGGGCAATGGCTACCTGGCTCCTGGGATTTGTCCAGCCCTGGCTTAGCTCAGTCATATAGCTTTAAATTAACCCATAAAGCTGAAGTCTGGGTATTAAATCATTAAAATATATTCCTCAATAGCCATAAAGGGTATAAATCCATTCTGTGTACACCAAACGCCTTTGCAAACCCAGATACTAATTGTAAATGTAGCAGTGCCATCATTACTGTGCAGAGAGCAGAGTTGTGGGAGGGGTTCAGAAGTCTTCACCCCCTACAGGCTGCCTGCAGAAAACGACAGCAGTGGGCGGAGACGTGACCAGTCTTTATTATAGGAGGGGGTGGAAACAAGACTAGTCACCCTGAACAAGAAGAGAAGGCAGCAGTTACTAGTCTTTATTACAGGAGGGGGCATTGACAAGACCAGTCACCCTGCACAAGGAGAGAGAGCAGCAGTGAGCGGTCTTTATTACAGGAGGGGGCGGAGACAAGACCATTAATCATTCCACAAGGAGAGAGAGAGAGCAGCAGTGATCGGTCTTTATTACAGGAGGGGTGGAGACAAGACCAGTCACCCTGCACAAGGAGAAAGAGAGAGCAGCAGTGACCGGTCTTTATTACAGGAGGGAGCGGAGACCAGACTAATCACCCTGCACATGGAGAGAGAGCAGCAGTGAGCGGTCCTTATTACAGGAGGAGCGGAGACAAGACAAGTCACCCTGCACAAGGAGAGAGAGAGTAGAGCTGTGGGAGGTGCTCAGCACCATCATTGCTTGCT